TGCAGCACAATATTTGTTTGCTGCTAATTTTACAAGAATAGCAGATTACTCATTAATTATTGACATATTGTTTCAAGAGGAGTTATTTAAAAACAACAATTAAAACAGTCAGTGAATCCAGATTCTTTCCCAAACAATCGTGACCAAGCTTTTTTATTAACATAGGTGAGAAGAAAAGTGTGGTATGAAGGTCACCTCTATGGCTGTTTTCAATAGGCTGTTCCCTTTGCTTGCGTGCCCCTTCATCTTACTCACCCCTCTGTCTTCTTGCTTGCCTCTTTCTCTTCCCCCATTGCCTCATATGCCTACCTCGCTCCCTTCCCCTACCATCTTGCTTGCTCATCTTTGCAAGCTTCCCTCTCCCTTGCCTTTCATGCCTGTCTCTTTGCCTCATTTAATGGACTGGCACCCCTGCTACCAGTGCCAGCCATCTTTTTGAGGTCGAGCAGGCTCTATGGAGATCGTAGCACTGGTATCGGAATTGAGGCAGAGGCAGATTGAGTGGGGAAGTGAACAAATAAGAGGGGAGACGGGAGGGAAGTGAGCAAGATGAGGAAAAAAGCAATTGGGCAGCTGCAAAAGATGATGGGGTGACGATGGTAGAAGAGGGAACCTTTATGTTGTTCTCACTGAAGCATTAAAAAGAAATATTACTGGGAGTCATTACTCAAAAAAGCAATGGTGCCCAATAATTAAAAAAAAGTAATGAGTAGAGTTTGAAAGTAACTCATTACACATACAAAAATAATTGTTTGCAAGCTTTGGATTCGAAACATGTCCTGAAGTCCAAAAAATGTTTAGATATGGCAAAATCATATAGATAGAGAGCAGATATTCCAGTTTTCTTCATAATTCTCTCTCTCTCTCTCTCTCTCTCTCTCTCTCTCTGTGTGTGTGTGTGTATTTATATGCTGCCTTTCTCTCAAAACTGGGACCAAAGTGGCTTATAATATAGTTTAGAAAAAGCAGCAGAATTAAAATAAACTGAATATTAAAACAGAATTAAACAAATTCTATTATTAAAATATAAATACAGTAGTTTTAAATTGTAACTCTTTAAAGCCAATGAAAAGATAACTAAAATAGAAACAGAACCAACATAACAACTCAAATCCAGTCATTTGAAGCAATTTTCTGCTGCTGTCCTGCCTAAATAAAAAGTGGCTTACTAAAGACATTTTCAGGAAAGCCCATACATGTTTACTTAGCAAGTAAGTCTCAGTGTAATAACGCTTATTCCTAAGTGAAATGTGCATAGGACTGTAGTCTTGTTGTTTGTTTGGCATGCAGGCTGGCCATTTTTTCAGGATTCAACCACTGTGTAGCAATTTCTCCAATCTCACTAAGCAACAAATAATAATAAAGTGCATATAATAGCCACCAGATCCTGCTGTAGGCTAACTGGCTGGACCAAGAAGAGTTGTTGTATGAATACTTCCGCCACATACCATTTGCAATGTTCTTTAACTTTTACCTTCCACGCCCACTAGAAAACTGTATAGAAAACCAGTATCTATAGAATGCATGAAGAAAACATGATGACACTGTGGAGAATCTACATTCATCCTTGCCTGTGGGCAAGAGTGAAACAAACAAACAAACAAAAATCAAAACCCTTCTATTCATCAGCCATAAAATTCACTCATATTTTCCACCAGAATATAATGTTTTCCATTGAAATTAATTTCAGTAGAAGAATAGAATCATCGAATTGGAGGGGGCTTATAAAGCCATCGAGTCCAACCTCTTGCACAATGCAGGAATCCAAATCTAAACAGATCTGATAGATGATCGCCCAATTTTCTTTTGAATACCTCCAGTGTTGGAGTGCTCACACAACTCCTGAGCTAATTGGTTCCATTATTGTACTACTCTAACAGTTAAGAGTTTTTTTCTTGATAGTTAACCTCAATCTGGCTTCTTGTAGCTTGAGCCCATTATTCTGTCTCCTGCAATCTGGGTTAATCAAGAACAGATCCTTCCCCTCATCTCTATGAGTACCTTTCAAGTCTTTGAAAAGTGCTATCGTACCTCCTTCTACTCTTCTTTTCTCAAGGCTAAACATGCCTAGTTATTTCAGTCTCTCCTCATAGGGCTTGGTTTCCAGTCCCCTGATCATCCTTGTTGCCCTTCTCTGAACTTGCCCCACTTTGGTCACATCCTTCTTAAAGTATGGTGTCCAGAACTGAGATACTGTATCTATAGGGTATCTGTGAAAAAGAAGATATAAGAGCAGACCCCACACTTACAGACTTACTATAATGCATGCAATTATAATTAGTCATGTGCTGGGGGCAGGGTTTAAAGCAACCTGTGATAATTTGGGGTTTGGCAGAAATGGAAGAAAGGTGCATGCTTCCCAAGGTGATTGGAAGAACCCACTTTCTTATCTGCCCCAAATTAATTCAGCTGCTTGAGCACTCAAATGGAATGTGTTTTGGAAAAGGAAGCCGGTGGATTTATATTTGTCTAGGAGAATATTGATTTATTGTGGAAAGGGATAGAAACCATTGTCCCTTGGAAATATATACATTCCTGAGCTTTTTTGACATGTTTCAGTGGAGAAACTGTGCTAGAAAGCATACACTTTAAGCACGGCTAAAAAAAAATGCATGTATTTGAAAAAAATATACTTCTCTTTGTCAAAAGAAAGGATGCCTACAGAAAGTTATACATCAAAAACCTGTACAGAGATGTGTACATTTGAGAAAAGCATGTGCATAGAAATATACACAGGGAGAGAGAGAGAGAGAGAGAGAAATCATAAACCAATGCAGAACTGGAAAAATGCTAATGGGTTTCTTAGGAATGCTGCAAAAATCAAAAATATACACTAATGTACAGGGAGAGAGAGAGGGAGAAAATCATAAACCAATGCAGAACTGGATGGAGACAAAAATGCTGATGGGTTTCTTAGGAATGCTGCAAAAATCAGTTTGACAGGTTTTCACTGTCTAGTGCAATAGTTTCCAACCTTGGGTCCCCAGAGCTTCTTTGACAAAAACTCCCAGAAGCATTCATCACTTGATGTGCTGGTCAGGATTTCTGGGTGTTATAGTCCAGGAGCCTCTGGGGGCCCACCGTCTAGGAACCACTGGTCTCGTGGAACTAAAGGTAAAGGTAAAAGTTCCCCTTGACATTTTCAGTCCAGTCGTGTCCAACTCGAGGGGGCGGTGCTCATCCTGTTTTCAAGCCCTGGAGCCAGTGCTTGTCTGAAGACAGTTTCCCTTGTCAAGTGGCCAGCGTGACTAGCGAACGCCGTTTTTACCTTCCCACCGAGGTGGTGCCTATTTATCTACTCGCATTTGCATGCTTTCGAACTGCTAGGTTGGCGAGGAGCTGGGACAAGTGACGGGCGCTCACTCCGTTGCGTGGATTAGATCTTATGACTGCTGGTCTTCTGACCCTGCAGCACAGGCTTCTGCGGTTTAGCCCGCAGCGCCACCACATCCCCTCTCATGGAACTAGGACAGGGCAAAGCAACCAAGTGTTTTCCCTCTATATTTTAACAGGAACGCCCACATAGTTCTCTGGCCCTCTTCTTCAAGCCTTCCCATTGTGTTTGCTTGCTTCCTTGCAGGGCCCCTGTGTTACAGGGAATAGAAATACACCCATTCCTGGACACTTTGGTGGTTAGGGCAGAAACAGAGCACACATGTGCATCAGAAGAGACTACACAGGGGAAACCTACTCACCCAGCAGGTGCCTCATGGATCAGGCCCTCTGCTGCATAATGGAAAAACCCATTAAGCTTCCCCTTAGTGGCTTTCCTCTTGCCATTCGCCCCGGTATAACTTTCCCAAGATAATTTCCACCCTCTCTCCAGAAGGCATACTGTCGAGGAATACAGGGGAATGGAGGAAGGGTGGAAGTGGCTCCATCTTGACATTTGTCTGAGGAAATTCCTACAGATCTCTAGGGAAAATAGTCCATGAATTCTGAAAATTCTAGTAAACCCCCCGAAGCCCTTCACTAGAGGGGTGAAATCTTGAGGTGTGCTTGATCTGTTTTTGTGGGCACATTTTGAGCTTTCTAGTTCTTGGAACTGCAGTCTAAAAACATTTAAAAAAGAATACCCTTACTACTAGTTGCATTTCTTTTGAAGTAACTTAACTGCATACTCATACCTTTGAAGCACCCAGTTACAGGTAATAGCATTACTTGTAACTAGTTACTTCTAAGCTCTGATGCAGTGGCAGGTGCTCCCTTTAAAAAAGCAGACCATGTTTCCTTAAAATGTATGTGTGGGAAGGGGAAGACAAATCTTCTGGAAAGGGGCCTGGAACCCCAGATAAATGCTGCTGAGGGGAGTGCCAAACAGGGAACAAATGAAAGGGAAAGAGTTAAAAACCACAATCTGCCTGGTGCAAACTCTATTCTTAAAAATATTTTCAGTGGGAAAAGGGACAGTTGAGGCTTCATTACAGGTGGATGCAGCAAAGCACTTTTTCCTTTTATTTATTTCCTTTTAACCCTTTCATCATGGGCCTTAAATTAATACATGTGCAAGTAGAAGTGAATGCCGGTTCCCTTCCTCATCCCATCCTCCCCATAATTCAGTTTCTGCTTTTGTCTCCCACCCGGAGCGGAAGAATTCTGTAAGCCCAGGCAGGTTGCGGAAGGTGCTTAGGGGAAGAGGTAACAGCTTGTTCAGGAAACTCAGCAACAGATCCTCGGGGAAGGGAACCTGAGCAATGGTAAAAGAAGTCGAGATTGTTTGTACTAGGTTACTCTGAAGCCGAAGCGAGCAAGATCAATATCACTTTGAAACAGATGTAGGTTGCACTGGGAGAGCAGGTCTCCACCATTGGGTTGGAAATCATGTATCTACACTGCTACACAGCTGTGCCAGCACAAAAATAAATAATAAAAAGCACACACCGTGTACATTAGTTCTCAGGATTGAAGATTCCCTTGGAAAATATGTTTCTTTCTTTGCTTCAAAGGCCACAGTAGGATAGAGCTTTGGGTTTATTTAAGCCTCAGAAAAATGAAAAGGAATGAAGAAGGAAGAAAACCTAGAAGACATTTATATTCAGCTGGCTATGTTTGCAACTGCTGAGAAACACACTGGCTATCAGTCAACCGGGACCTTGTTTCACTCTTCCTACTTAACAGGAATTAGTCCTCAGGGTAAGATGGTAGGAATTTAGCCTACTTTGGAGATTCTGGATATGACCCAGGCAACATGAGGCACTCTGGAGATCCATGTTCGGTTGCAATGTAAAAGGGGTAGATGGAGCTATCGGCAACATACTGGTAGCTCAATAATTTAGGTCTCCAGTTGCAGAGTTGGATTCCCCGCTATGCTTCCTTGCCAGGCTGGACTCGATGATCCACAGGGTTCCTTTCAGCTCTGCAGGTCTAAGATTATAAAGTCAGCCTTGTCACCAAAGAAATTTGTATTAAGAGCAGTCACAAAGGAATTGAACCTGCAGCTTTTAAGATGCAAAGGCCTGGCCTTTCGGCACTCATTCTGATGGCTGTAATACTGCCTGGACTGAAACAAAGATGAGTCCCAAGGACCTCATGGGGCTTACTTCTGAGAAAATATGTACAGAATTCCTCTCGTAGTTACTTCCAAATAGCATTATTGGAATGTGCTGAAGCAGAAAAGGAAACAAGTTCAGAGAATTATGTAGTGTGCAGATGCACAGCACACAAATATTGGCCGGAAGAGGCAAATGGAGCTTTATACAACTTTGGCTGTACAAGTTTTTTAAAAAATACGCCTAAAATCTTGGTTTTTTCAGCAAGGATTGCTAACATTTAGCCCCTGGAAAGCCCTTTCCAGGCATTCCCGGCCACTTCTGTCTTCTTAACTACTAAAACAACAAACTTGTTTTAAAACTCAAGTTCCTTAGAACAATTGGTTGAGCTAGTAGAGCTTAGTAGGCTGAAAGACTGGCATCAATATGAGGGGCCCTCTCTGCTTCCTAGGATAGAAATTTGAGATCCCTCACTGCACGCTTGGCTGGTGGAGTTACCTGTTCTGCCTGTAGTACCATCTTCAACAAGCTGCATAGTCCCAGAGCACCATCCGAAGGAGAGACAGGTAAACAATGTCTGGGTGCTTTATATCTAGAATACCATGAGAAGATCTTCATAAGTTGTTAATTAAAAGGCATGCCCTGCCTTTTAAAGCAAATCCCCTTCATATGAGCCCTCAAAAGGAGTGGTAAGGATGAGAGGGGAAGCCCAAGGCTTATCCTTTTGACTTCTTTGACCCACTGGTGGGATAAGGATCGGTTGAGGGCCCAGCCTGGCTCCTCCACACATATGCCTTGGATCCTGAGGTGGGAAAGTCATTCAGGACGATGTTCTCATCACCTGAACAGGTATGGCCAATGAGAGAAGTAGGTAACAGACCAGCACGGTTCTGGGCCGTAGAAGTCTCCCCCATCTTTATGTTGGTTGGGTTGCAGATTGTAACAGGTGAGATTGTACAATCTGAAGAGAAAGCAGAGTATTACGGTTGAACTGGGTCTTCCCTCAATTGTTGCCAGAATTTATTAGGCATATCTCGGATATTGGCATAGACTAAATGGATCATTCTCAAAGTGTTGCCGGCTGGAGGAATTGCAGATGAGAATATCAGCACAATAGATAAGTTAAAGACGGACAGTCTTTACATGGGGAGGTTTCTCTGTCTCAGTTCTCATGCTCTTAGGAACTGGATCTTCAGTTCTGATGCCAGTTGAGATACGACTGCCATTGTTGGGACACAGCTCTCTACTTGGTATCCTCAAGTTAATGGAGCAAGGCCATACTATTTTGAGGCTCTGTCTTTCCCACAGCTCTGTAGAGTTTTTACATAATTTAAGAGTCCAACAGATGCCCTCTGCATCTCTTGAAGGGCGATATCGAGGAACTCCAGTTACGGAACAAAAATGCATTTGTGGCTGTAATCAGATTGAAGATATAATTCATTATTTATTGTTTTGTCCCCTTTATATGGATCGTAGAGAAAGATACATGTCATCCAGTCATATGCCAACTGTACCTCTGAAGAAGCAGTATTAGGATTTTCACTGATAATCAGTTATTTATTACATCTACTATACTACAGTTTGCACTGGCAGCCAAGAAGCTGTGTTCTTGGTGTGTTAAGGTTCATAATGTTGTATAACTGTCATCAGAATGATCAGTGAGTCTAGATGATTGTTTTGAAGGTTATTATGATTGGACTGGTTATGAGCATCTCCATGAGTTATTATAATCAAATTTTTTAAAACTTTTTCCCCCTCTTATACTACATATTGTAAAGGCCTTTGGTCAAAATCAATAAAGCTGTTGTTGTTGTTGAGTGGCCACTGCAGGGGAATGTATATCATGCAGGAAAGGATGCTGCAGGTTCTGCAGTGAAACTTTAATTTTAATCAAGCTACGGTTCTATGACTCTCTCATTTCTTAAATCCTGGACACTTGGTGTGTGTGTGCGTTTGCGTACATGCATGTGCATGCACACACACACACACATTTATGGATGGACTGGTTTAAAGAGACAACTGCTGCTTGCTTTATGGTTTCTTTGTAGGGTTGTGCCTTTTTACGTAAGGATTTTAAAGCATAAGTAAAAAGTTTACTGTATTTCTTTTTTATCTTATTTTACTCTTGGTGGGCATTGGCCTTTAACTAGGTGTTGCTCTGTACCTTTATCCTGTCTGTGGAAAAAAAATAATACCAGCCAAACGACGATTGTTGTAATCCAAACTCTCAGGTGTCTCTTTTTGAGATGCTCTAGATTTTTTGGAGGGGGTGGGTTGTGATGAGAAGGGATTTGATTGACAAGCCTCAGGAGGTGCCCTGCTTAAAGCAGGAGTGATGCTATTTTGAGCATGCACATGCTGTTGTATGTTTTCTAATACTCTGGTACCAATTTATGTCTTGATCCCTTGTATGTTCATAGACTCTATATTAAAGGCATGATGAACAGTAGTATTCCGGGGGGGGGGGCTTCTTTTCCTTAAGTGGCATAGTCAGCAAAGAAAGGCAAACCATCAACTATCATATGAATATAATATATGCCGTTGTAGCGAACAGCCCTGCCCTCACCTGTCCGTCACAGCTGAGCAGTGGAGAAGGAGCCAATGAGTGGACGGAAGGCGGTGCCAAAGGGGGGAGGGGTTTGGATATAAAGGCTGGTGTATGTATTATGAGAGAGTTCTGTGAGTGAGAAGAGAATCTGAGAGTGAGAGAGATTCTGGTAGTGAGAGACTGTGTGAAACTTAAGAGTGAACTAAGGGTGATTGAGAGATCTGTGAGAACGCTGAATGGGACAGAGAGTGGATAGAGCTTTAAAGTAAAAGTAGTACTGATTCAGTTTCAAGTGATTAGCAACCTGTGATTTACCTACTGTATATTAATCAGATGTTACCCTCCCTGATCTAATAAATGACTTAAGTTTCAAAAGTACACATGTCTCCTTGAGTGAATCGTATTGGTAACAGCGAAGAAGGAAGAAGAGCGAGAACCTCGTGAAGGCCTGGGGGGGAATAGGGGCTTCAGAGAAGACCGCCACAGCCGTTATGTTAACAGCTGGTCTATCTACCAAATTAACCCTGATTGGAGAGTTGACCTAAACACACAGGGGGTTCCCATAACAGAAGTCAATGTGTTGTTTTTAAGTTAGGTACTGTATACAATTTATGTTGAGCTTTAAAATTTACACTGCACCCAGGCTGAGGGCTGCAGTTTTTTTTAAAAAAACCATGTGTGCTTTGAGGCGTTCTTTGATATTTATTTATTTATTTATGTGTTTAATCTATGTATTACCCATCTAGCAAATTGCTACTCTGGGCGGCGTACAACAAAAATGAAGAAACATAATTTATGTTAGATGTGCATTATATATAAAAAATATCCACAACAGACTCCCTCATTGCTGGTAACAAGATCAGTGACAGAATAAATATTGTTCAATATAATATCTATCCCTCCTTTTTCCTCCTCTATCTTAGTTAATTGGGGAGAACCTCCTCAAAAGCTTCTCTAGATAGCTGTGTTTTGAGATGCTTTTTATTTATTTATTTATTTATTTATTGGACTTATATACCGCCCCATAGCGCTACAAGCACTCTCCGGGCGGCTCCTGGGGTATCTCATTCCGTAAGGATGGGACCACAGCTGAGAAGGCCCAGCTCTGAGTTGATGTTTTCCAGGCTTCTTGAAGTGTTAGCACCCACAGGAATGAGATATATATATATTGATGTTTTCCAGGCCTCTTGAAGTGTTAGCACCCACAGGAATGAGGTCTGTAAGAACCAAATCAGATGGGCAGTTGAGCCAGGCAGAAGGCAGGTAGACCGATAGCGAGATCCTAAATCATTATAGCAGCTCTATGAGCAAGTGACTTCCAGAAGGTTCTATAATTAAAAACCCTATTCAGGTCTTCCAGACTAAAGGCTGAGTTAGTCCATCACATGTTTGGTCCTCCTCTTGCCTTGCTGCCTTCAACTTTTCCTGGAAATACTTTCTTTTCCAGATGTTATTGGACTGTCACCCCAACAACCCTAGCTAGTACAGCTAATGATGAGAGACTCTGGAAACTATGGCCCATTATCTGGATAGCCCCAAAATGGCTTCTTGGGGTGTAGGAGAGTGTAAGGGGACTTTTGAGCAAATTCTGACTCGAATCCTACTGAAAACTTACACCAGTATAACACCATTGGCCTACATTTCAGTGGGAAATTGCCACTAACTAAGAAGTCATTACAGCTATTTGCTGGCATATGATGAGCCACATCCCTGGTCTGTGACAGCAGATGCCCACACTGACTTTTTTAAATATACGGCAATTCTCACTGGGTGTATCTAACAGGGTTCTGCCATTTTTGTTTTCTTGCTTTTAAGTTGGGAACATGAAGTATTGAAGGGCTACAGCTAAGCTTAAGAGAATGGCATGTAACCCAAGAGTTTCACCTTGCATATTCCTGCTACAAAGGACATTGCAGATTGAACAATTCCTCTATTCTCTTCTTCTTTCCTTGCTCCCCTTTCTCACAGGGCTGTCATTTTCAGTTCCCCTGTTTCTTATGTTTTTCCAGTTGCCTGTTTCTTCCGCATAATTCTGTGTGAGTTTCTTTTAAAGTAAAACTTTAAATATCCCTGTGCACATTTCTCCAAGTATATTCATTGTTCTATTTTTTATTGTTTCTAAGTGTATTATTTGCAAGCGTTTTTCCTTATACTGTATAATGCTTCTTCTACTTCCACTAATATGAGCCTTTTGTGTGCACATTTCTCCAATATAAATATTTTTCATGCATGTTTTGCCCTCACAAAATTTTAAGCAATTAAAATATATTAAAAGATAGCTAGTTTTCAGTAAGCATATTGATTTGAGATGGGCAGGTTTGATAAGGTCTTGGAAAATCTGAATTTTGAGAAATAAATTGTAAATTGCAGGTGAGGAATTGCATTATCATACATTCATTGCACAAGCCAAGTAAATAATGCACAATATATATTTGTATTTATGTATATACAAATATAGGGGTAATAAATGAATCATCATCATCCTGAAAAGTCAAATTAATATCTGTGTCACCTCTAAATTTTACCTGACTGACATATTCCAATTGAGTACAGCACCTTTGACTTCTTTCTGTATTCCTGTGTAGTTCTGTTTGCTCTACAAGGTTTCCCCACTGCTTAGAAATAATATGGTTTAATAAATAATTCCCCAGATATATGTTCTTTAATAATGAAAGCAGAGGTCATAGTTTATGTCTCTGCTGGTATTGTTATGGAATCTGATGGCATTATCTTAATATGAATATTTCTGGTTTTTTGGTGCTTGTATTAAATAAGGCAAACTAATGAGTCCAATAAAATATGTTGCGTTGGATAGGCTTTATAATACAGAGGGGTCAACAAAATGGTGCTGCACACAGTTCTGTTCTGGATGTATACTATATATAAAAAAACATGAAGCAAGCAGTTAATTTGCATCTGAAGCACAAAGATCAGCTTCCTAAGATGGTTCATATTGACATGTAAACCAGGTCAGTTGCTTTTGGCCAAGTGCTCCATTCTATCAAGGTCATTTTGAATTTTGTTTCTATCTTCTAGGGTATTAGCTATGCCGCCCAATTTTGTATCATCTGCAAATTTGACAAGCATTCCCTGCACTCCCTCATCCAAGTCATTAATAAAGTTATTGAAGAGCCCCGGTCCCAGGGCTGAGCCTTGAGGTACCCCACTAGTTACCTCCTCCCAGTTAGAGAAGGACCCATTAATCATCACCCTCTGAGTACAGTTCTGTAGCCAACTGTGTATCCACCTGACACTTGATCTATCCAGCCCACATCCAGCCCACCTGACACTTGATCTATCCAGCCCACTTGATCTATCCAGCCCACAGCTTGCTAATCAGGATTTCATGGGGCACTTTGTCAAAAGCTTTGTGAAGTCAAGATATGCTATGTTTACAGTATTCCCTCTGTCTATAAGGGAGGTGACCTGATTTAAAAAATGAGATCAAGTTAGTTTGGCAGGATTTGTTCTTGACAAATCCGTGTTGGCTTCTAGTTATTACTGCATTGTTTTCTAGGTGCTTGCACAATGACTGCTTTACGATCTGTTCCAGAACTTTGCCTGGAACTAACTGATGTCAGGCTGATTGGCCTGCAGTTCCCAGGTTCCTCTTTTTTGCCTTTTTTGAAAATAGGGATGACATTAGCCCTCTTCCAATCCTCTGGCACCTCACTCATTTCCCATGATTTCAAGAAAATAATGGATAGCGGTTCTGAGAGTTCTTCAGCCAGCTCCTTTAGTATTCTCGGATGCAGTTCATCCAGCCCTGGGGATTTGAACTTGTTCAAGGTGGTAAAGTATTTCTTGACTACAGTGGTGCCTTGCATAATGGGCGCCCCGTTTAACGCCGAACCCGCATAGTAACGATGTTTCCTCTGGGGGAAAATCGCTTTGTGACGATCGGTAAGCTGTTTCGCTTACCAATTTTCACATAGCGATGTTTTTCCCCAGCTGATCGGCGGTTCCAAAATGGCCACCGGGTAAAACAGGGATGGATTCCTCGCATACTGGGCAGCTAAAATGGCCGCCGTATGGAGGTTTTCGCTTAAAAGGTAAGTTTTAAGCCCATAGGAACGCATTGAATGCATTCCTATGGGCTTTTTAATTTCGCATAGCGACGAATCAGTATAGCGATGATTTTTGCTGCAAGGATTATCGTTGCTATGCGGGGCACCACTGTATTTGTTTATCAGTCTCCACCTGCAATCTTGTCCCCGCCCCACTTGCACGTTCAATTTGTTTGGAAGCTCATAGTCTGTTTTATGGGAAAAGACTGAGCTAAAATAGGAATTGAGCACCTCTGCCTTTTCTTTGTCCTCTGTTATCATTTTTCCATCTCGATTGCGGAGCTGTGCCACTATGTCTTCTGTTTGTCTTTTGCTACTCACGTACCTGAAGAATGCTTTTTTTATTTCTTGTAGTGTCTCTAGTTAACCTGAGCTCATTCTCAGCTTTTGTCCTCCTAATGTCATCCCTGCATTTCTTTGCTTCCTTGGTGGCCCGTCCTTCTTTCCTGTACCCGTCTGTTTTTGTTTTTAGGTCCTACCTGAGCTTTTTATGAAGCCACACTGGACTTTTTTTTTTTTTTTGCTGCCTCCCATCTTTTTTTCTTGATGGAATTGTTTGCAGTTCTGCCTTTAGAATTTCTTTTTTAGAAGCTCCCACCCTTCTTGGACTCCTTTTTCTTCTTAGGATCTCCTGACATGGGACCTTACTTATCCTTGTTCTGAGATTATTAAAATTGCCTTTTTAAAAATCTAGCAGACGTGTGTGGCTACACTCTGCTTTCATTTCCTTTGAAATCAAGAATTCTAGAATAATGCCTGATGCATTTACACATGTGTAACTTTAGTTATGCTTCTATGAAAAGGATTTTGGTGAATATATACTGATACTCTGAACAAAAATGTGTGTCACAGACCTCTACCAGGTATTAGAATGAGATCTGTAGACGGCTTCAAGAATGCTCAGTCTTAGAACTCTGCCTCCCTCCCTCCCTTTTTCTTACTATGATTTGTTAGTAAGATGCCATCTCTAACACCCATTATGAAAAGGGCACAGTAGATGGACCATCTCCTATTTGATTAAAGAGTGAAATGAAAATTTTGTCCAATCCTCATCATAATTAAAGGTTGTTTCCCCCCTTTTCTTGCAATTAAGCTCAGTTATGAACCGAAGTACTCCTTTAAAAGAACATTAATGAAGGTCTGACATTTTGGGGGGTCTTTCTAAAGCATCCTATAGACTGTAGCCCTGTGGAAAAGTTGAGGAATTTAATCCAAGTAGTCCTCTGCTTTGATTGACGAGCAAGAAGGTTAAAGATCGACATTTGCAATTTTCACAGCCATCTCTGCACCTCTTAAACAATGTTTGCTAATAGCATCAGAAAGAGACTTTAAACTGCAGAATGGTGCAGAATAGAAAGATGAATCCTCATTTGGAATTCCCTAGTCCTTTATGCATATATTAAGCAGGAAAGTGAAGGAAGCCTTGCCAAGTCTTTATTTATGGGCGAGACATTTGGTCTGTTTCCAAGCAAAGTTCAAGGTATTGGTTTTGACCTATAAAGCCCTATCTGGCCTAAGTCCAAGCAGTTAGGAGAATCACATCTTCTCCTGTGAGCCTCCTTGGACAAAATGATCTCTGGAGGAGGCTCTTTCATTGGTCCTGGCACCCTCCTCACATGTGGTGGGATTTGAGTGAGAGCGGGTTTTTGGTGGGCTGCTGGCAGGTGGTCTAGCTCCCAGCCCAGAAGAGCCAGGCTAACTCACTGCCTATGGTCCTGACATCCTCAGACAAAGGTCCTTTCCTTAGACCAGCTGCCAGGCATGTTATGATGGGGGAATGTTATACTTTCTAACATCTTTTAAAAGTGCACTTCCAATTGCTTGATTATCCTCTCATTCTTTTAATGATGATAAGTGTATTTGTTTTTAATATGATCATTTATTGCAGTGTTCTGCCACATTTATTTTCAAATGTTCTGTGAACTGCCTTAAGTTGCTTTGTTAGGTTTTTGCCCCCCAGAGATAGGATATAAATAACATGAGTGAATGAGAGTGAGTGACAGGCGATCTTAACATGGGCAGATAGCTTGTTGCGTCTTCGCTTGAATATTTTCCCCATCTTGAACTATATTACTATTGTTGTTTTTATTTGATTAGATTGTTTTTATTTTATCTGTTATTGTTAGCCGCCCAAAGTAGACTTCGGTCTAGATGGGCGAGGTATAAATTAAATAAATAAATCGCCTCTATTCCAATCCTATCCCAGTTCTATTGTCAAAATGCAAATATTCATGATAAATCGTAGATAAGAAAAAAGATATATGATGCTCTGGGAGTGGACTGTTTTTGGTGAGTTACTCATCCCCCCCTTCTCTCCAGCCACTTATTTGAGTGGATAACCTCTTGTTGGGATCTAATGACACTGACCACATACTAAACTGGATAAATATTTCTCCCTCTTTACTCGGGGTATTGTAAATTATCCCTATAGGTGTACTGCGTTTGAAAACTCTTTTTCCTTCCTCCCTCCCTCCCACCCACTGCCATTTCCAGCAAGGCAGATTGCAGGAGCAGTTAGCATTCCATTTTGCACTGAAAGCAGCCTATCACCCTCAAAAGTGCCTGCATAATGCATGTAGTCGTTTATCATGCATAACGTTATTATAATAAACACCAAAGGATTTGTAGTGGGAATGATGAGTCACTTGTAAATTGTTGCCAAGTGGATAAAGAACACAATGTATTTACATAACGCTTAACTCCTGCTACATTCGAAAGCAGTCGTCCGATGATAACAGCACAAGCGTAATCTGAAATGCAACATGCTAAATCCTTCTCTCTCTCTCTCTCTCTCTCCTGTTTTTAACTTGCAGGTTTCTTGAGCACGGGAGATCAAGCGGCTAAAGGGAACTATGGGCTTCTTGATCTCATTCAGGCCTTGAGGTGGACTAGTGAAAACATTGGGTTCTTTGGGGGTGACCCGCTGAGAATAACTGTTTTTGGATCGGGCGCCGGTGGTTCATGTGTCAATCTCTTGACTTTATCCCATTATTCTGAAGGTAACCGTTGGAGCAATTCAACCAAAGGTATTATTGCAGGTTGCAAATTTTGACAATTTTGGTGTCTGCATGCCACCACCTTGACATCTATGTGATGCCTTTGTATATACTGTATATGTATCTTGATATGTGTAGGGAGTGCCTAGTCAATTCAATCAATAGGCAATATTTATCCATCTGTGTTTTGGGACTCATCATATATCCATGGACTTATAAACAAATATAAAATCCACCGAACAATTTATACAACGTCACACTCCATGCAACATGTGTTCTTCTTTCCACACTTCCAGGTAGAGACAGATAGACATGTTTTAAACAATGTGAATGGGAGAGACTCGAATGGGAGAGACTCGAATAATTTAATTTAATAATAATCTTAGAAGTGCAGAGTTGGAAGGGCCCCTATGGATGATCAAGTCCCGACCCTGTCAAAAAGGCACAGTGGGGAATTGAACTCCCCACTGCAGCCAGAAATGTAAACCATTGAGCTATCAGTGAACTACTGCAAGTATATATTTGAGCACACTAAAAAAGATGGCTAAGTGGCTCCAGTATGAAATAGTATAACTGCTATTTTATTTTAAATGCAGAATTTTTGTTTTGTTTTTTAAACGAGGTATTAAACATTCAGTATTATTATATTCATTTATACCTCCAGGAAATTTCGAGTTGACAGGGAAAAAAAAATACTTGTTTGTTTATTTCTTTCTGCATTTATATTCCATTTATTGTGCAGAAATCCCCCTCAAGGTGCATTACAAAATTAAAAAAAAAAAACAGGCAATTACAAAAGTACCAATAATGAGTCCCCCTAAGAATTAAAATTGTAAGAGATGCTGGATATTGCTGCCTTCTAAAACAAAACATTTTAAAAAAATTATTGTTGGTTTTCAATAAATTGGGGTCATTATCAAACACGGCTTCAAAATTACAACTAAACCGAGGTCTTTCTAATGGCAATATCTCACGAATAAAGAGTTATTTTTTTAAATCAAGCATTAGAGGCTGTGAACGACATGGTTATTACTCTCTCTCCCTTCTGGCCCTTCTTTGTCTGATGTAGAGGAAGTAGATAAAGACATATTTTTTCTCATAAGACTGGAATATGGAGTCACCCAGTGGTAAAAGAATCAGCAAAGGAAGTAACTAGTTAAATGACACCGATTTAAACTAGGGCATTTGCTTGCTCCAGATGTGAGAACAGCCACCAGCATAGTGATTTTTTTAAAAAAATGGCTTGCACAATTCACAGGCAACAAGTCTGTCAATAGTCACAGGTATGTGCTGCTCTTCAAGATCAATGACAGCATGCATGTGAATATGGATTTGTTGGAACAGCAGAGGAAGCCTACGGTCCTTTGTGCCCTGATTGCAAACTTTCTGCAGGCATTTTCCTGGCCAGCCAAGGAAAACAGGACGATGCACGGAAAAATACGGTATATCGGTGCAGCTTCAAAGGAACACACTCTACTAGGTAATGCTAACAAGAGTGGCAGTCCAAATAAAAAGGTCTAACATAAAAACTAGAAGTCTGATCAGCACCACATTTGGCACAGTGAGAGAACACAGTGTGCTCCCGCTCTGTGCAAAATTTCATGATTTTGGGGAAACGGGTTTCAAGTTATGGTTTTTTTTTTAAAAAAATAGCACTGTTTTTACCTGGGCAGGAAACAAGATATGTACAGCCATTAAAAACAGATATATTGATAAGAAAAAATTGCATACCTGGAGAGAAAACAGCCATTTGCAGCTTCTTTTTAAAAATTTCAAATAAATTAGCAAATTATTTTCTCTAATAGCCTTTTCTGATAAGTTTACTGGCTTCATAAGCTGCCAGGGTTCTAAGGTAAATTTTAGACCCTGCCACTCTGAACCAACTCCGAAAGAAAACAGTTAACACCTTCCTCATAAACCATTTTGACTGCTTTTTAAAAGCCATTTTGAATAGAGGATAATATTGAGCACCTCACTCATTTAAGCTGTAAAATTTCTGGGAGTGTATATTCTGCTTTGTGCCTTGGGATTTTCTCAAAGCAACCTTTACCCAGTTTGTTTGTGAGTAAAGAGACAGCAGCAACAACAGCCAAGGACAGCTGCAACGGGAGAGGAAAAAATTGTGGTGAAGGTTAGGGAGACAGAAGAGAAGGAAAACTGCCTTTCCCCCAATACTTTTCTTACTGTAAATGAGTGACTGACTTGAAAAATATGATGTGCTCTGCTCAGATCTTGCAAACCGATAGCATCTTAACGGCAGGTTTTCCTCTCTTCCTGCTGTTTACCAATCCACATGATTTCATATGATTTTAAAATGTTATCACAATATCCCACATTCATAAACCATAGGGGTTTTGTTTGTTTGAGGGGTTTTTAAAAAGAATTGAATAATAGAACTCATAAGCATCCCCTTTCTTCCTTGGAACAAAACCAGTGATATTCCAAATATACATGAAGCCAACTATATTTCATAAGTTGTCAAAGGCCTGTTAAGGGCGGGTTACATGTTGTTGTTGTTTTTTAAAGGAGTGTCAATGTCTGAGGGAAAGTTCAGTGACCCAGCGCTCTGTTTCAAACCTAACAGCAGAGCCGCTGCAAACTGTTAGCTACTGTGAAGAAAATGTCTGACTCTGTTGTGAATTTCACTCAAGGCCTCCCAAGGAAAGAGCAAGTGTACCTTTTTTGTGTGTGTGAGATCCAAAATTGGCAAAGCATCAAGGTCACTCTTGCATCTTTCTTTCCTACTCTGTACTTAGCACCTTTCTTGTCTCGTGTAGAAAAGGCAGACGGCAAGAGAGCTGGCATGGTCGGCAGGAAGAATTGGATTTAGTTCCTGCATCTTGCTTGCTACTTTATTTAGAGGTGTTTTACCTTAGGCCCAAGTGGGGTGGGGAGTGTGTGTGTGTGTGTGTGACATCTTGCTTGCTACTTTATTTAGATGTATTTTACCTTAGGCCCAAGTGGGGTGCGGAGTGTGTGTGTGTGTCTATGTATGTGTGTGTGTACACACACACATACATAGATACACACACACACACAAAATATAAAAATCCTACAATAACAGCAGCTGAAATGGTTTTTAAACATTAAACCACCACGGTATGAAAGACTGGTACAGAAGCTATGGCTAAAATTAAAACAAATATTTAGAAACACACATAAAACACTGTACAGGTGATTTAAAAGCCTGGGGGAAAGAAGAGGTATTTGCAGGAGCCTGAAATAAGCTCATAACCAGGATGCCAGCTTTAGGGAGACATTTTCTTCTTTAGCTACCCATTGCGCTAAACACTGAGCTTACAGTATTGCATTTAAAAGGAAACTTATTGCATTACTCATTCCTTTTGGCAGTCAGGTCACCATTACCTTTATCATTGCTCTGATAGCATGAGTAATTTATTGCATTGCCATTCAGTGTGGTTGTGATTAACAGGCCAGGAAAAAAAATGCAGGGAAATGCTCTCTGGTTCTCTCTAGCGGCCAGTTCTCACATTTTTTTTTATTTTTTTATTTTTTGGATTGGAGGTTAGTGCAAACCATGATTTGTCAGCTAAAATGCAATGGAAATTCTCTGCAGCTGGTTTAGGGAGGAAAAGTCTGCGGAGGGAGAAGTAGCACTTGTGAAAGAGTGGGATAAATGGCGGTGTCACAAATAACAATCTCGGTGAACTCCGTGCTCTGAAAAAAGTATTGCCTGACTCCAGCCTAAATGAGTGAACTTCAGAGCTTCTCATCTAAATTCTTATGGTCTCAGGTAGAGACTAGGGAAAAGTTGTCAAATTCACAAGACCTTTTCAGAGATGGAGTGCAAATTTTTCATGAGGTGAGGGAAGCATTGTAGTTTTTTTTACAAATCCATTGGTCTGGCTCGTGCCCGTTATCTTTTCTCCCTACGTGCTGCATTTTGTGGAGAAATATTTTTGGCGGGAGGAATGGTAACAACCACAAAACATGGAAGGAGTAATTGTTGGTGGTCTTTTCATGTCTCTACCAAATGCCCCACAGACTGGAGTTTTGAAAGAAAATGACGTGGCTTCAAGCCGAATTATGTTTTGATGCCCTGTCAGATTTAGAAGTGACCATCACTCACCTCACCTCCATCTCACCCCTACTTCCAAAGGCAGGCAAAGCTTTCAAATTCACAATTTAATCTCAGTCAGATGACCCCCAGCACTGAATCTCATAAAATGATAGGTAAAGTGAATTGTCTCTTTGTGGCTTTTGGTCTGTGATGCAGTTCACCTGTTGATACTCTTAGGTAGTGATTAATATGTACATATTAACAGACCATGTTGGTGTGTGTGGAGGGATTATTGCAAGAAACATGTAACTTTTCACATCTTTTTTTGTTCCTTAAAAAAATGTAACTACATAGTAATAGTCAACATTTTGAGGCCTTGGACAATAGCCAAAACCAATCTCTCTCTCTCTCTCTCTCTCTCTCTCTCTCTCTCTCTCTCTCACACACACACACACACACACACACACACACACACACACACACGCACGCACGCACGTGTGTGCATGTGTGCGCGCGCACACGCTTCCAACCTAGGTTTCTTATAATTTTATCTCGGTTATTTTTATGACCAACGTTAAATGAAAAAGGCTTTTCTTCCTTAAAGCAGTTGAATTGAGTGTGTGCGCACACACCCTTCCAACCTAGGTTTCTTATAATTTCATCTCGGTTATTTTCATGACCAACTTTAAATGAAAAAAGCTTTTCTTCCTTAAAGCAGTTGAATTGAGCTTTATGATTTGAAGTCTTCATCCACTTTTAAACCCATCCATCCTTTAACAGAGCATTGCCCGTTCTGCCATTCACAACAGGAAGAGACTAGAAAGCAACTTTCCTTCTAGTTTCTTCCTTAACCCGTTTAAATGGAAATAAATGGGATTGTAGACGATCCAGGCAGCAGTCCTGCAACCCATCTACAGGACTCCATGGGTTGTGGAATACTGCAGAGTGTTCTCCCACTGGTGAAAAAGAGCTTCACATATACAGGGTTGCACTGGATCCTAGCAAGAGTCTCCCATATGCCAGCTGAATGCTTCAGGGTTCAGTCATTTAACACCACCTGTGTTCCTACAGCATTGGGGGGAACAGAGGTCTGAAGGCATTTTGCTGGGGCACCTGGAAAGCCAACAGTTGTGAACCTCTCAGGCCCTCCTGGCACAGAGTGAGCGCCTGTCGCTTGTCCCAGCTCCCGCCAACCTAGCGGTTCGAAAGCATGCAAATACGAGTAGATAAATAGGGACCACTTCGGTGGGAAGGTAACAGCGTTCCGTGTCTAAGTCGCACTGGCCATGTGACCACGGAAGATTGTCTTCGGACAAAATGCTGGCTCTATGGCTTGGAAACGGGGATGAGCACCGCCCCCTAGAGTCAAACACAACTGGACAAAAATTGTCAAGGGGAACCTTTACCTTTACCTTTACCTGTGTTCCTACAGCATTGGGAGGAACAGAGGTCTGAAGGCATTTTGCAGGGGCACCTGGAAAGCCAACAGTTGTGAACCTCTCAGGCCCTCCTGGCCAAGAAGAAATTGAGTCAAGATTCCTTTTCTCCTCAAAGTGAGCTCTCCAGGCTAGATTTTTTAATTTTTATTTTGGTTTTGTTAATTTTCCTGAGAATTATCCACATCCCTACTTCAGTTTGCAGGCTGCAAATATCTTCACCCCCTGGAAATGCTTATGACAATAGGAGGGGGGGAAAAACCCTATACCATCCATAGATAGAGTGGGCATACTGATTTCAGTGGCAAGGAATTTTGAAGAACTGGGAGAGAGGGTAGCAGATCTCACCTTCCTTTATCTACAGTGGCTTGCAGGAACCCAAGGAGCTGAGCCTCCTCCATAGATTCTCTTTCACTAATAGGATTGCTCTGCCAGCTCCACTTCCATCAATGTAATTTATTTGCTGCTCCCTCCCAGTGAGAAGAAAGAAGAGTTGATTGCCCTCATTAGGGGTTTATGAGGGTGAATATTCTCTATGGAAGGGGAAATGCCTCTGAAAATCTATTTCTTGGGATATCTCTTTTTATGCATTTTCATTCAAGTCTATCTTTCCCACCCATTTCTTATTTCATACGCTTCTGTTCTGTGTTTGCATTCAACTAGAAATTCTGGTTACAATCAGCCTTTCTTCAATATGCATTTTAAATGCCATATTTTTTCCGGGATATACATGATCTCTTACGATATATATTTAAATTCACATTTTCAAATACAAATTCCCATATTTGGATATTTTAAACCCCCGTTCATTAGAATGGAACAGTTTTAATCCCTCAGAATTGGTTTTTCTGTTTCAGAATCCAACCAGAACTAGATTATGCTTCAATGATGCACTGTTCTAAACCATGCCTCCCTATTTCTGCCACTTGCCACATATGGGGGTGTTGGTACTATTGTTCCAAAGCAGCTGAGGTGTTTTTTAAAAGGCGGAAAAGGTCTGAAAAAATCTATTGATTTTGGCCATTGTAGCACTTCTCCTCCTCATTCTTGTCCCAGCCAATTTAACATTGGCCAAAAATCTCTTTGTGCAAACATAATGTAAAGCTATTCCTGCGTAAATCTGCTGGGTGTTACACCCAGCAACAGGGCAGTGCACAATTCTACTGCGCAAATGGTTGCATGATCCCCATTGCAATTGTTGTGCCTTGCAGCACCAAAAGGATTGTTTCTTGGACAACAACAACACAATTGTTGCTACCTGGACAGCTAAGCAAGAGGGTTTTGCCCATTGGGAAAAGAATGGGCCATGCTTTTTCAGGGGAGACAGCCCGTGATGCACTGAAGCAGAAGAGATATACTAAGTTTGTCAGAAGTTTGGTTTCTTTCAGGGGAAATGGAGGGGAAATCTTTGAGGCAGCACTGAAGTTCACTTTGGGGCAGAAAACATCCCCTCACTACAAGATGTATACATTTTATTTTACTCTACTTCTGTTCCACCTGCTTTGAGGGGAAGACACTTGTTTCTGTACACTGAAATATTTATTCAGACATGAAACATTTGTACATTCCACGCTGCGCTGGAATTTTCTCATTAAATCAGAAAATGGCCCATAACTGAGATAGTGTCCCATGATTCTTAGCACATGTGGATTAAAATGGCAATTTATTTATTTATTTATTTTTATTTATTATTGGATTTTTATCCCGCCCTTCTAGACAGGAGTCTACTCACAATATACTATACACAAAAAGAGATTTAAAAACAACAATTAAAATTTACAGTAATAATATAATCAAGATGGGAGAGTAAACAGCAGAAATCAAGAAAAATAAAAATCAAGTATTGGAAGGAGGGAAGGCCTATCTAAAGAGCCAAGTTTTTAATTGGCTCTTAAAAACACCCACCGAGGGTGCCAGGCAGATCTCTGGCGGCAAGCTATTCCAAATTCGAGGGACCACTGCTGAGAAGGCCCAGTTTCTGAAATGGCAATAACCATGCCACAAGATTCTGAGAAGTGCAAAATTTGTTTCCCCCCCCCATATGTGGATTTGAAAAATACCAGTAATGCTATTTGATGTTGAGTTGGCAGCCAATGAAGTCCTTCAGCACCTCTAAAGCAAGAGGTGGATACCCTCAAATGAGCTGATCTGCTCAATGTCTACTAAGAGTTCAAGAGATTGTTTCAGATGCCATTAAAGATTTCTATTGATCTGTCCAGTGCTGCTGATATTAGTCACTGAAATGTAATGTCCAATGCAGTACTTGAAGTTGTTCATATTGATTCAATACTGCCATAAACATTAAGCACATTCTCAGCAGCTATGGAAAGCTAGTTGCCACCACTGGGCCTTTTATAAAGTGTGATGTTCTGGGAGAAATTGTACATAAATTGCCTAATCTGGCCTTGAAATCATGACTATTTTAAGACCAGGTGCCCATGTTCAGATAAATGTGATGCAGCTCTCTTTTTCTCTTTCTCAGCATGAGGATGGATGGGGAAGAACACATGTAAGATGCATTAAGTTGAGCATTCTTCCCAAAAATGTCTGATCAGGGCCTGAAAGCCAGTGATCTGGGGGTTAGAATCTAGTCTATTGAGCCAATTCCGATTGTTGTCAGTTCAGCTTTGCATTTTAGCACGAGTTTACAAATGCAAGAAAAATGTATCTGAAGAGGTCTTTAAAAAACTGAATAGCATGATTCATAAGACAGAGAGGAAATGAACGATATTAACACAGAATTGTTAAGGCAATATGAAGAGAGAATTAAATGATGACAGCAGAAACTCAGTAGGTTTTTACAATTAAATGAACACATCTCACTAACTAGCTTGCTTTTTATTCAGAGAAATCCACATTCTTCATGTATAAACTTTGGCTATTGATAACACCAATACATCTGTATATATTAATTCTTTGTAACTTTAATTTGACCCATGTTCCATTCAGTGTAATTTATGCAGAGATGTAGAGTAAAAGGTATGCATCCAGTTGTACAAAATTTCTCACATTTCTTTATTGTCCCAATTTAATATCCCAAGGTCAGTATAGTAGGACTGCTGTATCCATGGGATTGGTACCTTATCTAGTGCTTGAATATATTAAATAACCCCACCCCCACCCCCAAAACAGGTGTTTCCAAGATGTATTACCAGAACCGGCCACTAGAAGGAATGCTATGCTATATATTGTGTCCGCTGTATCGGCAATTTATGGCATCCACATAAATTGTGGACCCCTAGGATACCACAGTCCTACCGTACTTTATCTTGGATACATAGACAGATTTCCACTCCCTTTGTTTGTAGTTTCTTATTATTCCACAATAAATTAGCTATGGTTTACATTTTGACACAGCTGTGTTATAATTTCAGCTTTTCAGCTGCACGTATATCAACTTGTGCCACTCTTCTTTTTCTAAAAGCGTCATTGTTAATTGCAAGGTTCCTGTCTTATGTACTTGAAATATTTTAAGCATGTCTCCACAGACTTCGTTGTTGTGTTAGTCTGCCATTTCTAATCTGGTCCCCTGCTTTCCCACACAGGTCTTTTCCAGAGGGCAATAGCTCAAAGCGGAACGGCTCTCTCCAGCTGGGCGGTCAGTTTCCAACCAGCAAAATATGCAAGGATGTTGGCTACAAAAGTTGGTTGCAACGTGTCGGACACGGTTGAATTAGTAGAATGTCTACAGAAGAAGCCGTACAGAGAACTCGTTGATCAGGATATTCAGCCAGCTCGATACCACATAGCCTTTGGTCCAGTCATCGATGGGGATGTGATACCAGATGACCCTCAGATACTGATGGAGCAAGGAGAGTTCCTAAATTACGACATAATGTTGGGAGTTAACCAAGGAGAAGGGTTGAAATTTGTTGAAAACATTGTTGACAGTGAAGATGGCATATCTGCTAGTGACTTTGACTTTGCTGTGTCAAACTTTGTTGATAATTTGTATGGGTACCCTGAAGGCAAAGATATACTGAGAGAAACTATTAAGTTCATGTACACAGACTGGGCAGATAGACATAATCCTGAGACAAGAAGGAAAACACTTTTGGCTTTGTTTACTGACCACCAGTGGGTTGCACCGGCGGTGGCTACAGCTGATCTCCATTCCAATTTTGGATCACCTACATATTTTTATGCCTTCTACCATCATTGCCAAACAGATCAGGTACCAGCATGGGCGGATGCTGCTCATGGCGATGAGGTTCCTTACGTCTTAGGAATCCCAATGATTGGACCAACGGAATTATTTCCTTGTAATTTCTCCAAAAATGATGTCATGCTAAGTGCAGTGGTGATGACATATTGGACAAACTTTGCAAAAACAGGGTAAGTATTGTTGATCATATATGTACATGATACATACCAACAAATCAAGAGCTGCCCTTTTTCATGCCACGCAGAGGAAAGAATACATATAAATACAAGGATTTGCCTCACTGGTAACTATTATCTTCCTTTTCCTGTCTCAGAGCTAACTAGGAGCTTTCTTTCCAAACAGGAAGCTAGGCAGAGCTAGGCCTAGTTAAGCCTCAAAGCCTTTCATTTTAAGCCTTTTCTCCCAGGTGAGCCACATTCAGGCTCTGTAAAGTGTGTGCAACCTCCCAGAGTGAGTAGTTATAGTCCAAGAAATCCAGAACTCCAGTCGCTAGTAACTGTAGGTAAAGGTTCCCCTTGACATTTAGTCCAGTTGTGTCTGACTCTAGGGCACGGTGCTCATCCCCATTTCCAAGCCATAGAGCCAGCATTTGTCAGTAACTGTAGCCTTCTGTAATATTTTCACACTTCAAAACTTTCCCAGGGAGTTAAAAGCAATACATATATGGTAATCCAGAAGTTACCTTTTGGAACGTGGATATTTCAAATGCAGCCAGGGAGTTCACATCTGGGCTTGGGCACCAGCAAGAGATTAGCTGTCCAGAGCTCTAGTTTGGCATGTCCCTACCGATACAGCAACACAGAATAGGCAAATTGTCATTGGCAATGCCATCCAATTTTTATATGGTGGAACAGGTGTGAGACTGGTATATCCTGGAAGGCTAAAAAGCTATGTTTTGCAGCCACCCAAATACTTTTTTTAAAAATAAAACTGACACACAAACACACACATACAGAAAGAGAATTCGATCATAGGTGTGATTCTCTTCCAAAACAAGGGTAGAATCCCCACACCGTATTGTAACAAAAAATACATGTGTTTTTTTTTTGTAAAAAAGAAAAAGAAAAAAATTCAAGAAGAATTTTTAGAAACTAACAGTGGCCCTTATGATTTCATTTTGAGGGGTGTTGTTGCCACTCCTGCAGGGCCCCGGGACTGGGGGAAAAAAGATGCCCTTTAACCCTGTCCTGCCCCAAACATGCCCATCCTTGGGTTGACTGATGACATGATGTCATTTCACTCATACAGTGGTATTTATGGAAGAATGACTATTGGATTTTGCTATGTCGCATGTGTGGAACATGTTGGGACAAGGTGTGTAGTAACAAAGGCATGCATATTTATTACATTAAATTGTAAAGAGCATTTCTGTTTTGAAGACAGCTTTCAAAATGGGGTGAGCTAGGCATGTCTGAGTCTCTCTTTGCAAGAAAATAACTGAGCAGACTTCTTCTAACATGAAATTTCAGCCTCCACATCTGCAAAATGGAGATAATAGGGGCCTATTTCTAAGGATTACCAAGTAATAACGAATGTAAAATACACTGAATGCTGAAAAAGTGCTATATAGATGTTTGTTACTGTCCCCGAAGTTGCCAACAGAAAACAAAAGGCTCATTTAGCTCAGTGACTATTATGACATGAATACTTTGTGCAGCAAAACAGAATCATTTAGGCCTGAGTTTGTTTATGCACTTTCTGTCCTCAGGGGGATTTACTTGCATAGAATTGCAATGTAAACGGCTTTGAACAGGATGGGAAACTGGGTTAATTCATGGAGAATAGGTTTGTCTATCATCCACAAGGCAATATGTAACTAAGATAGTATGCCATATGATGCCACTTGTTGGTAAGGAAAGCATGCCGAATTCTTCCTACCTTCATGGCCTGAACCTGGAGACATCTGGCTAACAAGTATTTGAGGCCAGATGCTGGGGGATTCTTTGTATGATCCTGCAGGGCAATTCTTATGCTCTTGTGTTGTGATGTACAGTGGAGAATGAATCGATTATAGCTAGGTAAAGCTCCATGGATTTCATTGGGTGTACTCTAAATATGACTAAGTCTGGATCTAATCTAGTTGTAAGAATTACAAAGTGGATCTTTGTTGTTCTTTAGTCTTAAGTCGTGTCTGACTCTTCGTAACCCCATGGACCAGAGCACACTAGGCCCTCCTGTCTTCCACTGCTCCCAGAGTTTGGACAAATTCATGCTGGTAGCTTTGATGATACTGTCCAACCATCTTGTCCTCCGTCGCCCCCTTCTCCTCTTGCCTTTACACTTTCCCAACATCCGGGTCTTTTCCAGGGAGTCTTCTCTTCTCATGAGATGGCCAAAGAACTGGAGCCTCGGTTTCAGGATCTGTCCTTCCAATGAGCACTCAGACTTGATTTCCTTCAAAATGGATAGGTTTGTTTTATTTGCAGTCCAGGGGACTTTCAAGAGTCACCTCCAGCACTACAATTCAAAAGCATCAATTCTTCGGTGGTAAGCCTTCTTTATGGTTCAGCTCTCACTTCCATACATCGCTACTGGAAAAAACATAGCTATGACTATGCGGACCTTTGTTGGCAAGGTGATGTCTCTGCTTTTTAAGATGCTGTCTAGGTTTGTCATCCAACCATCTCGTCCTCTATCGTCCCCTTCTCCTCTTGCCTTCACACTTTCCCAGCATTAGGGTCTTTTCCAGGGAGTCTTCTCTTCTCATGAGATGGCCAAAGGATTGGAGCCTCAGCTTCAGGATCTGTCCTTCCAGTGAGCACTCAAGGTTGATTTCCTTTAGAATGGATAGGTTTCCTTACAGTCTAGGGGACTCTCAAGAGTCCCCTCCAGCACCACAATTCAAAAGCATCAATTCTTTGGTGGTCATCCTTCTTTATGATTCAGCTCCCACCTCCATACATTGGTACTGGAAAAACCATAGCTTTGGCTATGTAGACCTTTGTCGGCAAGGTGATTTCTCTGTTTTTTGAGATGCTGTCTCGGTTTGTCATTGCCTTCCTCCCAAGAAGGAGGCATCTTTTAATTTCGTGGCTACTGTCACCATCTGCAGTGATCATGGAAACCAAGAAAGTAAAATCTGTCACTGTTTCCATCTCTTCTCCTTCTATTTGCCAGGAGGTGATGGGAACAGTGGCTGTGATCTTAGTTTTCTTGATGCTGAGCTTCAGATCATTTTTTGCGTTCTCCTCTTTCACCCTCATTAAGAGATTCTTTAAGTCCTCCCCACTTTCTGCCATCAGAATAGTATCATCTGCATATCTGAGGTTGTTGATATTTTTTCTGGCAATGTTAATTCAGGATTGGGATTCAGCCAGTCCAGTCTTTTGCATGATGTATTCTGCATATAAGTTAAATAAGCAGGGGGACAATATACATCCCTGTCGTACTTCTTCCCCAATTTTGAACCAATTAGTTGTTCCATATCCAGTTCTAACTGTTGCTTCCTGTCCCACATATATATTTCTCAGGAGATAGATAAGGTGGTCAGGCACTCCCATTTCTTTAAGAACTTGCCATACTGCTGTAGCCTACCTTGTAGGATTTTGAGCATTACCTTGCTAGCGTGTGAAATGAGTGCAATTGTACAGTAGTTCGAGCATTCTTTGGAACTGCCCTTCTTTGGGATTGGGATATAGACCGATCTTTTCCAGTCCTCTGGCCACTGCTGAGTTAAACTTGCTGGCATATTGAGTGCAGCACCTTAACAGTGTCATATGTTAAGATTTAAAATAGTTCATCTGGAATGCCATCACCTCTACTGGCTTTGTTGTTAGCTATGCTTTCTAAGGCCCACTTGACTTAGCTCTCCAAGATGTCTGGCTCAAGGTCAGCAACTACACTATCTGGGTTGTCTGGGACATCCAGCTCTTTCTGGTATACGTAATTCCTCTGTGTATTCTTGCCACCTCTTCTTGATGTCTGCTTCTGTTAGGTCCCTACCATTTTTGTATTTTATCATGCCCATGTTTGCAGAAAATGTTCCTTTAATATCTCCGATTGTCTTGAACAGATCTCTGGGTTTTGCCTTTCTATTATTTTCTTCTATTTCTTTACAGTGTTCCCTTAAGAAGGCCCTTTTGTCTCTCCTCGCTATTCATTGGAAGTATGCATTCCATTTTCTGTAACTTTCCCTATCTCCCTTGCATTTTGTTTCCTTTCTCTTCTCTGCTATTTGTAAGGCCTCGTTGGACAGCCACTTTGCTTTCTTGCATTTCCTTTTCTTTGTGATGGTTTTTGTTGCTTTGTCCTCCTTTACAATGTTATGAGCCTCCATTCATAGTTCCTCAGGCACTCTGTCCACCAAATCGAGTTCGTTAAATCTGTTCTTCACTTCCACTGTGTATTCATAAGGGATTTGGTTTAGATTGTACCTGACTAGCCCAGTGGTTTTTCCTGCTGTCTTCAGTTTAAGCTTGAATTTTGCTATGAGAAGCTGATGATCAGAGCCACAATCAGCTCCAGGTCTTGTTTTTGATGACTGTATAGAGCTTCTCCATCTTTGGCTGCAGAGAACATAGAGAATGATTTCAGTATTGCCCATCTGGTGATGTCCATTTCTGGAGTCGCCTCTTGTGTTGTTGGAAAATAGTGTTTGGATGACCATTTCCCTGCTTTGTTTTAAAGTCCAAGACAAAATTTACCTGTTGTTCCTTTTATCTCTTGACTCCCTACTTTGGCATTCCAGTCCCCTAGAATGACAAGAACATCTTTCTTTGGTGTCAGTTCTAGAAGGTGTTGTAAGTCTTCATAGAATTCATAGAATTCATAGAATTTCAGTCTCCTTAGCATTGGTGGTTGGTGCATAAACTTGGATTATTGTGATGTTGAAAGGTTTGCCTTGAATTCGTATTGAAATCATTCTATCATTTTTTTGAGATTATATCCCATTAAACCTTTTCCCACTCTTTTGTTGACTATGAGGGCTACTCCATTCCTTCTATGAGATTCTTGCCCACAATAGTAGATATGATAATCGTCTGAATTGAATTCGTCCATTCCCGTCCATTTTAGTTCACTGACACCCAGGATGTCAATGTTTATTCTTGCCATCTCCTATTTGTCCACATCCAGCTTACCAAGGTTCATAGATCTTACATTCCAGGTTCCTATGCAGTATTCTTCTTTGCAGCATCGGACTTTCCTTTCACTTCCAGGCACATCCGCAGCTGAGCGTCCTTTCGGCTTTGGCCCAACCACTTCATTAGCTCTGGAGCTACTTGTCCTTGTCCTCCGCTCTTCCTCAGTAGTATGTTGGACAACTTCCGATCTTAGGGGCTCATCTTCCAGTGTCATATCTTTTAGCCTTTTGTTTCTGTCCATGGAGTTTTCTTGGCAAAAATACTGGAGTGGCCTGCCAGTTCCTGCTCCAGGTGGATTGCATTGAGTCAGAACTCTCCACTATGACCTGTCCGTCTTGGTGTCCAGCACGGCATAGCCCATAGCTTCTCTGAATTACTCAAGCCCCTTCGCCATGACAAGATAGCAATCCATGAAGGGGAAAGTGGATCTAATCTAATCTAAATTCATCAAATACTGCTACTGTGTGGGAAAGTGAAAAGTGTTTCCACCACGGGCTAACATGTTGGTTTTTAAATTTTTCTAGGGACCCCAATCAGCCAGTCCCGCAAGACACCAAGTTCATCCACACAAAACCGAATCGTTTTGAGGAAGTAGCATGGACCAGATACTCCCAGAAAGACCAACTCTACCTTCACATTGGATTAAAACCACGAGTGAAAGAACATTACAGGGCCAACAAGGTGAACCTGTGGCTGGAACTGGTACCTCACCTGCACAATCTTAATGACATTTCACAGTATACCTCTACGACAACTAAAGTGCCATCCACTGATATTACTTTTAGGCCAACTCGGAAAAATTTGGTACCCGTAACTTCAGCCTTTCCTACAGCCAAGCAAGATGATCCCAAACAACCGCCAAGCTTAATCGCCGGTGATCAAAGAGACTACTCTACGGAGTTGAGTGTAACTATTGCCGTTGGAGCATCTTTGTTGTTCCTGAACATTTTAGCCTTTGCGGCACTATATTACAAAAAGGATAAGAGGAGACATGATGTCCACCGGAGATGTAGCCCACAGCGTACTACGACCAATGATCTTACCCATGCACAAGAAGAGGAAATAATGTCCCTCCAAATGAAGCACACTGACTTGGGTCATGAATGTGAATCCATCCATCCACATGAGGTGGTTCTGAGGACCGCCTGCCCCCCAGACTATACACTAGCTATGAGGCGGTCCCCTGATGATATTCCTTTAATGACCCCGAACACCATTACGATGATTCCCAACACTATACCTGGGATTCAGCCCTTACACACATTTAATACATTTACTGGTGGACAGAATAACACTCTGCCTCATCCCCACCCACACCCACACCCACACCCGCATTCACATTCGACAACTAGGGTATAGCCCAAGAGAGGTAAAACAAACTTTTATTTTTGGTGGATTACAGTGCGTTATAATTATAGAAGACTTCACTTGGCTTTCAACCTACAAGACTTTTACTATTTAAATATGGAGGAATATTATGTGAATATACATATCAAAAACTTTGGGGATTTTGGGGAAAAACGAATTGTACATATATACAAATGAACTTTTAAAAAAATATATAACTTTTTTTGCAGTTGCTTGAAGCAATTGCCCCGAATGATACTTTTTACATTCACATTCAACTATTGATTTTTTCTTTTTCTTTTCTTTTCTTTTCTTTTGAAGGATTTAAGTTACATATTGGCATTTGGCATGTGCAACACAAAAAAAGTGGGAAAGAAATGATGACTGATAATTTAAGAAAAAAGTTCTATGAATATGCACAAGGGACACATTAATGGAATGTCAGCTTATTTTCACCTATTTTTAGTTGGAACTGTTTTCTTGTGTAGACCATATTTACATGTTGGGATAAGTATACAAAGCACCAGTGCTGTTAAAGGCTTTAGAAAGGGGCTCATATGCTAAGATCTGCCAGTTTAAAAAAGAAAGAAAGAAAGAAAGAAATTAAACATTTTAAAAAGGGGAAAGAATTTTATAACCTGGCAGGGACATCATTATCACATAAGTGCTGTCAGTATAAACGTTGTGGGAATAAAGGATGCCGGATATTTTTAGCACGATGTGCATGATCATTTATTATGCTTGGTGGCTGTGCTGCTGATTAAGCCGTAATTAAAATTCTTTTCATCCCATTGGAGTTCTCAGTTGAAGCTTCTTCCCTCAATTGGTGCACCCTACTGAAGGTTTCAAGGAGAGGGTAAAAATGTAATTGAGAATCTTGAAATTGTTGTAGGTTTTTTGGGCTGTTTGGCCATGTTCTGGAGGTTTTTCTTCCTAATGTTTCACCAGTCTCTGTGGCTAGCATCTTCAGAGGACCTGTGGGCTTCAAACAGCCCGAAAAACCTCCAACAACCATCGGATCCTAGCCATGAATGCCTTCAAGAATCCTGAAATACCCAGTAGCTTCCCAGTGATAGGAGACATTTATAGTGGCTCTTAAAGGTGTTTGGTGGTATTCTGGGTGCACAGCTGTAAACATACATGGACAGAAGAAAACAAAAAGACCCCTCTCTATTTAAGATGGCTTGTGGATCAAGGAGGGCGTGCCTCCCCCAACTGGCTGAGGGAACCTCTACCCAACTCCCAGCATCCTCTGGGCTGTACAATTTTTAGTACTATTCCTCTGTCTCTTTTTCCTCCTGCTTATGGCAGCCACAGGGCCTCTTTTGATGAAGCATTGGCCATTTTGGTGCAGTTTCAGTACAATTTCTTACATCCATGCTGGTAATATGGTAATTAAAAAAAAAAAACAAAATTGTCCAAAGATTTGTTTTCCAGGAATATTTCACAATATGTAAAAGCCGAGATGGGAAATGTTGCATTTGGGGGTCTACGAGCCATAATCCTATGTAAGATTTAGGATTATAAGAGCTAGTGTCCAAAAAAACAAAACAAAAAACACAAACAAACAAAAAAGAGAGAGATGGCGAGGGGGACAGAGAGCAGTGCTGTTTCTCATCTTTGTGTAATGGTCGTCCCCCGCCCATTGATCATAACAACTGCAGCACCCATCCCTGTTATATTTTTAAACTAATCCTATTGCATGTGATCACGTGTGCTTGAGTATTTACGAAGAATCCCCTTTTTCGCTCTGCATATCTTCAGCATTTCTGTGAGTTCACTGGAAATCTCTGAAAGGCAGTGTCTGCAGAATGCAATGCCGATGAAAAGCCTATTTGAGGAATGAAGTCACAAAAATCACTATCTAGAGACAATTAGGTTCTGCGTCTTACTTAATATTGTCCTACTCTGAAAGGAATGGTCTATAAAACAACAGGAAGGTCTTGGTCCCCCACAACCTCCGTTACTTTTGATTTATTTTTTAAAGAAAGGTATGTCACGGTCATTTAAAAAAATGTTTGTATGTGTAATCAGATGTACATTTATATAAAAAAAAGAGAAAAAATGAGATGGACTAAAGAGCACATCCCTGATGAACACATTCTCTCTTTTTCCTGTATTATATTTCTATTAGAGTAAAGTTATGTGATTTTTATTTTATTTTGCATTTTTTCAAATTACTAGCAATTTTGATAGTTTGTAAGATAACGCGCAGAACTTTCTCTGACAAACTAACTGCAGTAACAGAAATGTTTCTTTTCAGTTACTCTTTTTCAAGATGGAAAGCTTATTACACACACAGCAAATTGTATACTACTTGATGGGGGGAAAATCTTTGTACTTCTGGGTCGTTCATGATGACCCCACTGAGTGAAAAAAAATAAAGCTAATCTGGATAATGAATATTATAATTATTCCAATGCTAAGAGACCTGATAATTGCTCATTAAAGAGCTCAAATGTTTATTGCTGTTTTGTCATTTTTTAAAAATGAAGTAATGATAACTGTCTCAGAATAAAAGAGTTATTTCTTGAGACCAGTCTGGCTTTTGAAGACTTCAGTTTGCCTTCTACAGTTTCTTTTGCTTTTAATTCTACCTGAATTTCTACTCTTTGCAGTCTACAGTAAGACTTTGGTTCCTTCTATAAAACACTGACATGGCAAATGTGATCTATGTTTATGAGGAAGTAGGTATCAGAGAAAAAAGTGGGACTAAATACCAAATTCTTATGTATAGGGCAACTGTGAGCAGTGTTTTTTTCCCAATCAGTGTTGAAAATATGTTTAGTTAAAATGTTGACAGTGTCTGGATACTTTAGAATTATCTTATACGTACACATGATTCCAAATAACTTTCACAACTTAAAAAACAACAACCCAATTATAGAACAAATAAATGTTCATAAAGTCAGTTCTTGTTCACCCATCAAGAATGGAATTTAAAACCAAAACTGGAAAATAAAAGATTTCCTAATTTCCAACACATTCCTTAGTATTAATTATTATTATTTTAAAGCAACATTTAACATATGACAGAATCTCAGTCATCAAACAAAATTTCCCCGTAGAAGATGAAACAGGTTAAGTCTTCAAAATCCAGGATGGTCTGTGTGCAATTTCTGCCTGATGTGGTTGTGATTGTGACCTGCCAAATGTAAACAAATAAAAAGAATTGTTTGCCATCGGATAAATATTGTTTAATCAGAAGACTGTATTTTTGCCATATGGTTAGGGAAAAGAACATGGAGGAGACCAAGAATGTAATAGGAGAGCCATAAACCATTATTATACAATGGAAAAACTGGCATGAAACAAATTTGTGGGGCTGTGTTTTGTTTTGTTTTGTTTTCTTTTGAAAAAGATAAAATAACTTTATGCGATAGATAAGGCATATATCTTGTTGACTTACGGAATTTGCTACTATAAGATGTGGTCATAGCTCCTGATCCAGAAAGACCGAATAGAGAGTAAAACAAAACCATAGAGGATCAGGGCTGTGTTCAGGTGTTGCGTTTTCTAACTGCATATAGAGAACCAGAAACATCCACCCCAGTTCTTCTCCCTGCATTACCACTCTCTCTATATTACAAGGGAAAATCTGAAAAATATCTGTAGCCATGTTAGTGAATGACTACATGGGCATTTAGCCCACTGTTTGGTCCTCTATGGAAATGGGCTGGTCGGCTTTTCTTTACCAGTGATTGGATTTTCTAGAGTGAACATCTCCACTCCAAAGCAATCATGCCTGCACCATTCTGGCTCCCTGTCAAGGGCTACTGTTTTTAAATATATATATATTGGCCACTAGATGGCAGTTTGGTTTTTTTCTGCTAAATTCCCCAGCCTAATTTTTAAAAGTTAAGTACAGTGGTGCCTCGCATAGCGATCGCTCCGTTTAATGCTTTGTGCCGATGTTTTTGCGATTGCAAAAGCGATCGCTTTGCGATATTCCCTATGGGGAAAATTCACTTTGCGATGATCGCAGGGAAGCGATCATCGCAAAGCCCCCATTTTCGCACAGCTGATCAGTGGTTCCAAAATGGCCGCCGGGTAAACAAAAATGGCCGCCTCTATGGAGGATTTTCTCTTAAGGTTAGTTTTTAAGCCCATAGGAACGCATTAATGGCGTTTTAATGCGTTTCTATGGGCTTTTTAATATCGCTTAGCGATGAAATCGCTTAGCAGCGATTTTTGCTGCAAGGATTAACATAACTAAGCGAGGCACTGCTGTACATATTTCAGTTAACAAAACTAAACATAACAACTTTTAGAGTACATAAGCACTGCATTATTATTATTATTACTTAAAATAAGAATCAAACATCAAATTAGCTACTTGGGAGCATTGTAAATCTGAAGAATGGCTCTTGATCCTAGTACGTTTGCCCACAGCTCCATTATTGCTCTTGTATCCTTGAACTGGGGTTGCACTGTTACTCAGTCACAGGTCATAGCCTTTTTAAGGACAAAGGAGGGGTACAAATTTCTTAAATACATCAAATAAATTTATATAAATTAGAGTCTAGTTGCAATTTCACCAAAAACATTCTGAAGGAGAAATTTTAGGAATTTGAGGAATGTGTGAAAAATTTATTTATTTATTTGATTTATATACCACCCATCTTGTGGCAAGCCACTACTTTGGGTAGTTTGCAACAATTAAAAACCCAACCCACCACCATGAGCAAAAACAAACAAATAATAATAACAAAAGAACTCCAAGAGGTGACAGGAAATAGAAATAAAATTTAGACATAACAGGTCTGTCATAGGGGGATTATGTTTTTGAAGGCCTTGAAAAGCTTGGTTTTAATGCACTAGCTGAAGGACCGGAGGGAGGGTACCTGGTGCACATCCAAAGTCAACAAGAACCTAAGAACAGCCCTGCTGGATCAGGCCAAGGCCCCATCTAGTCCTGCTTCCTGTATCTCAAAGTGGCCCCACCAGATGCCTCTGGGAGCACACGAGACAACTAGAGACCTGCCTCCTGATACCCATCCCCTGCATCTGGCATTTTGTGGCACCTTCCTTTTAAGCCTGGAGATTATACATCCCCATCATGGCTTGTAACCTGTGATGGACTTGTCCTCCAGGAATCTGTCCAATCCCCTTTTAAAGGCATCTAGGCCGGATGTCATCATATCCTGTGGCAAAGAGTCCCACAGATTTACAACATGCTGGGTAAAGAAATATTTTCTTTTGTCCGTTCTGACTCTCCCAAAACTCGATTTGAGTGGATGCCCCCTCGTTCTGTTATTGTGTGGGAGGGAAAAGAGCTTCCCTCTATCCACTTTATCCATCCCCTGCATAATTTTCTATGTCTCAATCATGTCCCCCCCTCAAGCGCCTTTTCTCTAGACTAAAGAGCCATTAAATGCTGAAGCCTTTCCTCAAAAGGGTGTTCCAGTCACCAGCAAAAAGGCCCAGTTCCTGGCTGTCATTTTTGGGTCTCCCTTTGAATGACTGTAACAGAAATGCCTTGGAAGAATTAGCACTTTAGATTTGGCATGGAAGTCAACAGGAAGTCAATGCAGGCACACTAGGATCAGAGAGATGTGAATGTATTTCAAGGAAAACATTGTGCCAGTTTAATACTGGGTATTTTAAAAATGTTTTTTCCCTTGTGACTGCAGTTTAAGTATCCACCTGTTTCATTTTAGTGATAATAAGTTGCTATAGATGTATGCTTGATGATGTCAGCCAGGGGAAAATGAGCTATAGATGGTCCAAAATAAAATTCAAAAGAATAGTAACTTTTTGGATGGTGAAGTGTTTTGTTTGAGGGGGGAAATGTTTTCTACTCATTTGTCAAGATTTCTTTTGCAGCTGCAGATGGAATTATGTTGTTCTTCTATCATCCCTCAAAACAAAATATGCCTCATATGCATCATTCTTTGGTCTCAAAAGAAATTTTCCTGTTTCAAAACGTACGGTATGGAAA